TGACTGGCTATTATTGAGATATATTGGGGGTGAGTCAGTAGAAACGTACCAAATTTTTTCTAAGTAAAATTTTAAACAAAGATAACTTAACAAGGACTTAACCAAATTTAATAATTTTTTTTTAAATTAATTCTACAAACTTGTAGAATTTATTTAAAAAAATATTTTATTAATTTTTATAAAGTTTTTTTTTGTTCAAAGATTTAAAAATATTTCGCTAAAAAAATTTGGTGTATTTCTACTGACTCATTCCATATGTATTTTAGCTAATCAAAAATCTGTATTTTATAATATATTATTATTTTCAGCAACAATTTCTATATAGTATATTATATCAATAAGATTTTATTTTATCGCTTTGTCTTTTGAAATTTCAATTGATATTAAATTTCAATTATATTCATGTGGATTTTTTATATATATGTCAATTATTAATTTTCTTGAATAAATAAACCTGAATTAAACTCATGTTCGTGTTTATATTACCCCTTTTAAAGTAGGAGTTAATATAATACAAGAACTGCCATTATAGATCATAGCATTTAAGTGAAGAATGAGTTTATGATTATAAATTTTCAATTAAAATTCGAATACTTAGTATTGTTTCTTTTTTGAATTATTGATGACAAAGATTTTCTGTATTCCCTACATTCAATTAAAACGAATATTAATTTATAAATTAAACTAGCGTATCATGTTTATATTACTCCTCTTTTATAGTATATAATTCTTTGCTATTGTATTCAGGTGAGATAAAAAATATACAATGTTAACTTTTGAAATTTCATGCGCTTAAAGACCATTAAATCTTTGTCATCAATTATTATCAAAAAAAAAAATAATACTAAATATTTAATGTGTTAATTAAAAATTTATAATCAGTAAACTCGTTTTTTGCTTATTTAAATGTTTGATGATAGTTTCAAATCTTTATTCTTTTTATTTATTTTAAATATTTTAATTTATGAAATAAGAAAAACGATCTAGTAGCATAAATATGACAGATAATATTCCTTCTCGACTTCTAAAATTTATTTGTTGTTTACAAAGACTGCGTGAGCTACCAACATGTCGTAGTTCTCCAATAATTTCCCTTTACTTTTTTCCTAAATTTCTATAATTTCTATAATAGAAATAAATAAACCCAAAAATTTTCTGAGAAATTTAATCCATACGAAAATTCTCTTGATTCTTTTTTGTTCGTTAATTCAGGAATTCCGTTAATTCTTCCAAATCTGAAGGTCCTTACGGTCCGTTTCTTAATAGTTTCAAATCTTTATTCTTTTTATTTATTTAAAATATT